CTCTTGTGAAACCTCATGAAATTAGGTTGATTACCCCTTTTAATGGGCTATCTCTAACTTTGCTCCTACTATGACTTAGAAAACAAAGAAAGAAAGGAAGAAAACATGTTCTGGAATCGTCGCTCAACGCACCAAACTCGCTGTGCGAAAGCAAAAACAGTGGGTTCTGCTCACTCACCTCTCGCTCAACAACTACTCTCGCTCAGCTAGAAGTGTTATGCTCGCTCAGCAACTAGGCTCGCTGTGCGAAAACATAAACAGTGGGTTTTGCTCACTCACCTCTCGCTTAGCGACTACTCTCGCTCAGCTAGAAGTGTTTTGCTCGCACAATGACTAGGCTCCTTGTGCGAAAACCTAAAGAGTGAGCTCTGCTCATTCACCTCTCGCTCAGCGTCACTCTCGCTCGTGAGACTGCATAATTTTGCAGCATCAAAATTACATAATTTGCACTTCTCAACCACCCAAGACCTATTCTAAGTATTTTCCCCAACTTCTAACACTCTTAGATTGTATTCTAAACTTGAATTGACTTATCTAAACCTATATAAACCATCCTAAACTCATTTTAAACAAATTGTTCACACGATTTCAATCTAAAATTAACAAAAATCTCACTTTAGAGACCTAACATGAATTCCACAACTTATAGCTTCTTTTTGAACAACTTAGTTACTTCAACAAGTCACAAATGACCTACCAACACCTCTTAAACTGATCCTTTATACAAAAAACCAAAAACTCAATCTCACCATGCAAAACCTCCAATTTAGCCAAAAAAACACTCAAGAGCTTATCCGTAACTTTGAACTATGATATTACCTTGATGATTGAATAAAAGTATATGTTGTATGATATGATGGGTTATTCTTGAGATTTTACACACACACACAAATATATATATATATATATATATATATATATATATATATATATATATTCATTTGAAGTATGTTTAGTGGACGTAATTCCATGACTCGTGGAGAGATTTCATGGTAGATGTTGTTTGTTGTTGTTGTATGAATGTATGGAGCTTTGAACTGATGGTCTATTCCGACACTCTAATAATCATCCATTCTCAAGTAGATAGGGAGGAGTTATGTGGTGAGAGTAGCAGGAAGTTTTTGTCTATAGACTTTGATCAAGGCCCTAGGTAACTGAAATTGACTAACCTTGTATGGTAGCTTGGTTTCAGTCAGCTGTATTACCGTACAAGTACACAAACTACTAATAGTTCGATATTCATACCTAATTTGGATGAGTCTTGTCTAGGTTATGACATGTATATGATGAATGAGTTTTATTGTTCTAATTGAGTTGATGTTTGAATTAATCATAATAAACATATATATAGCTTACCCTTTTATTTATGGTTTTGTTGTATGTTCTTGGTTTCTTTTCTTGGCGATGATCATCTGGTGGGTATGATTAAAAGAAGATGACGTCTCGCTTAAGCAGGCGTTAGATGGAGGATCCGTTGACTTCTGTATTTTAGTTAGTCAATAGTTGTTTATAGTTTTGAGCAAACCTTGTTTATAAAGATTTAAATTTATAGTTATTCTGAGATTACGGTAAATAATACTTTATGAACTTTTCTCCAATTGTTTCTTTATATAATTATGTGATTACTATTATATAATTTTATACTATATTTTGGAATATTACATAAATAAATTATTAATTTAAATATAATAATAATTATATTAATTTTTAATTCAAATTAAAAAAAAACAAAAACCTTAAACTAGTTTTTCTAGTTTTCCATTTTCTTTTTCAACCTATTTGAAAACCATGTGCACCCATTTTAATAAAAATACTCGTAAAAACATATTTATATTTTTAATTAAATTTTTGTCATTAATTAAAATGATATGACTGATTGATTTTGCTGTTTCTAGAAAATACCATAATATAAAAAGATAAAATTTTGAAATCTTAAATATTGGTACCCAAAATCATTGCTTTCTATTTCATATACTTAATTTGATTTTTTTTTCTAATATTTCATTTATAAATTTAAACATTTCTTTTCTTTTCTTTTATAAAGATAATTAACATTCAAGAATTTAATTATTTATTATTTATGTTTATGATATTTTATTTAGTAGTTGTTTTAAATCCCAATGAAGTTAATTTTGTAAAATCAAATTATATTTAAAGTTTACCTAAAACTCAAAAGATCCAACCAAATAAAGGTTTGAGTATATGGTCGAGTTTGCAATGGATGGATGAGAAAGTAAGGACAAATCGTGAGAGAGAAGGAGAAAATAACGCGACACAAACGAAAAGAGAGAAAGAGGAAGAAAAGGAAAAATGTCGACAGAGAGAAGCGAAAACGGTAATGGAATCAAGTTCGTTGACGATGGGAAAAGGAAAAGCAAGACAATAGACGAGGGAGTGAGAACTTTGGTAGAGAGAGTGAGAAACTTTCGCGAGAAAGGAAGAAAATACAAAACATAGGGATATTCTCAAATAGAACTATAAAACACCTTTTTCTTACGAAAATACCCTCCATATAACATTATTACCTTTTAAAAAAAGCATTTAAAACCAATGAATCTCGTCTCTATGTTGTCAAAAGGTAACCAAAATATAGTTATTAAAAAAGTTTTCCTATAATTAACTAATCATCTATATAGTAGGGTGATAATACATTAAAGTCAACACCAATATACAAAATTATAGTTTTATAGTAAAATATAAAATAGTTTTAAGAAAATTAAATAAAAATATATGAAAACGGTTTTTCAAATAAAGATAAAAAGTTGAAAGGTGTATATATGTATATATAAATTTCCTTCATAATATAACAACTTTCAAGTCTCTTTGTATAGGATTATCATATATGAATATTACATTAAATACCTGAAGTTGGTAAAATTACTATGAATATATAATAATAACACTCTTAAGAGTAGCTATTAACCAACAAATAAAATAAAAAAAGTCAACAGTTACCGATTTTGAATAAGAGAAATAGAAAACAAAAGATAAACTTGCATACATAAAGTAGATGCCTTTAATTCTCTTAGAGCAAAGGTTTTACCAACTAAGTATTATTTATATTAGCAACTTCCAACCTTGCAAGCTATGCCGGTCAAAACCTTAAGCCACACCCACTATCTTTACAATCATTTCTTGACACTGAATTATCTTCAAATGAATTTTTTCACTTAATACGGAAAGTAAATTATTTAATGTTAATTATGATATAATTTTTCAAGATTCTACAAAAAGCTCCCATTTATCTAGGAATAAGTTTTTTACACTCTACATTCTACATTTATTTTTACCTAAAAACGAAAACAATTGATTTCGTTGACATTTAAATAAAACAAACTAAAAAAAGAAATGTGTGTGATTGGTTAATTTTTATTTAAACAGAAGTAATAAACTTAATATTTATCAAACAAGATATCTTCACTTATAATAATACGAAATCCAAATTCTAAAAATAACATTTTTAAATATCTTCACTCATGAAGGTCGCATTAAAAAATGGATGCTAAGATTGTCATTCTGGAGAATTAAATGACAAACTTCAAGACAACTTTAGCAACAATGTTGTTGATGGTGGAAGAAAATCAAAAGAAATTGGTGTCAATGCCGGAGAGGAAGAAAATGGATGCTGCAATTGTGAAACCCTAACTTTGGGTGAAAAGGACTCTGCCACGTGGCATTTTCTCATTGGCCTCAAATGATCTCACAATACCACGTCAATAATAATTGTACAAGTCATTAAATTTTTGCCAAGAGGGCAAGTCTGCGTTAACTTTTTTAACGCAAAATGATTAACATGAAACATTTTTTAAAAAATATAGGACGTTAGTGAACTTTTGAAAAAAAAAGTATAACTTTGAACACACCCTACAAAATCGAGAAACCAAAATAGATATTAAACTAAAAGTTAAATTTTAACTAACTTAATCCAACTTAAACACGTGATAAACCGAGTTAACTCAAACACATTTAACTTGTACATTAAATAAATCGAATTCAATTTAATTTTATGGAATGCATAATTTGTTTAGTCATATCAAAGTCCACTAAAAACTCTCCTCATACTCGAGAGCATAACAAAAGATTATATAAATAATAAAAATAAAATAGAAAATATAATTTGCCACAACAATAAAAAAACCTCATAGTACAAACTATCGATCTTAGAATTATTTATGCACCCTTATACTTACTAGTTCTGATTTATAAATTTTAATAATAAATAATAAAACATAATCAGATCGATAAACAAGTTAAATGTCTCATAAATCAATAAAATTTGAAGTTAGAGTGAATTGATCCGAAATAATATTGAATTCGAATATTTCATTATAAAACCGTTTATACTAAGAATATTGTGATATAATTAAATTAAGTTACCTTTTTTTAATTCTATTTAGGTAAAGAGTCAGTCTTTCTCACTAGTGCAGAAAGAGTTTTAGACATATGTTATTTTGGGCTTTTAACGTCCGATCCCAATTTGACGTCTTTATGGGTAACGTTAATGGGACGTCGGACATATAGAATCTGACGTCAATAAAGACGTCGGACATGACACTAACCAACGTCTAAAGACACTATAAAAACGTCGGACATAACACTAATCGATGTCTAAAGACACTATAAAGACGTCGGACATGACACTAACCGACGTCTAAGAGATAATCATGATTATTAATTACGACTTTTAATAAACTCTTTTTCATTTAACCATTAAAGTATGGTATCATCCTTAAATAAAAATTACTCAAATCACATAAAGTAAAAAATTTGTGAAAAAAAATTGAAAATCAAACCGCTTCCAAATTATTAATAAGAAACAAATAACAATAATAATAACAATAATAATAATAATAAAAAAAAAAAATAATAATAATAATAATAATAATAATAAATAGTGTTGTGTTGCGTTTATTTTATTTTATTTAAAATTTTATTACAACAATATCATTAGTATATTATAGTAATTATCGCTTGCGACTGCTGCTGCACTTATACTTCACCCATTACTATATAAAATTGACCCCCCCACACAAACTTCTCATTCATCATTCTCCACAACAACTCCATTCATTCGTCAAAACACAACAACTTCTCTTTCCTTTCTTTCACCTATGTGTTCAATGATAAGCGCGCAAGGTGTGGCGGTCGCCACCGCCATGGCCGTCTCCGGCACAGTCATCCTCCTCGCTCTCCGCCTGCAGAAATCTTTTCCACCTCCCCAGTTCGCCCTTCACCAAATCCCTCCTTCTTCGCCGCCGGTTCTGCGATCTTGCATATCCAACGGTGGGTCCCACTTCCCTCTGTTTCTCCACGCTAACACATTCGCAAACACACGCCCAAAAACCTGTCTTTTTGTTTTTGCACTGGTAAGTTTTGCTGACACAGTTGTTGTGGGCTTGTGGGTTTCTTGTGCAGCTGGGAAGAAGAGCAAGAAGAAGATGAAACGCGTGCACTTCGCGGAGGACGTGGTTGAGTCCTGCAGAGACGGACAAGAGTTCAGGAACCGAATCTCAAGATCGAAGAAGGTTCAGAAGAGTTTCAGCGAGGAAATGAAGAATGGAGAAATGCCCACGAACAGGGTAGCTCTGTATAATGGAATTCTTAGGGATCGGGTGGCCCAGCGATTGGCCTACTCTTGTTGATTTTGGTTTTTCGGTGACTCAAGAGTGAATATTCTGTGATTATGCTTCTCTCTTTCCTTTTTTTATAACAACTAGTATAGAAGCTGCTGGGGGAGGGTCCACCACAAACCCTCACGGTTGCTCTCATCGACGAGGTGATTGGATACAGGGTTTAGTGCCTTGTGAATCGTGAAGAGGATTTTATTCATACTTTTGGATAATCTTCTTCTACCCCCTCTCCACATTAATTTCTGCTCAACACATCCATTTCTCCGCAGATTCAAGTAATTTTTCTTGTATATATACAACTACTTTTTCTCCGCAGAACAATTATTTTCTGTTCTCTTTGAATGTAAAGAAAGAACTGTGTGGTTTTTATTGATGGAGGCTCCTAACATGGATGCAGTTGCTTGTAACTTTCTGTTCTTCTTTCATATTTCTGCCGCGCGTGGGATAATTTTACAAAATGTTGTGCTTTTTATTCGTCAAGAATCTTGACTCAAGATATTATGACTTCTTTTAAATTATGTATAGTTACTACAGTATGAAATGAGGATAGGCAAAACAGAGTTACCTTTCTTTTTCCACAAGCAAACATGAAATAATGTATTAGTTAAAGAATAACGATATTTTAACAATATTTTTCTGAAAATATTTTAATATTATTTACGTAGATTAATTCAAAATTATTCTATAATCAATAATAATAATTATAAACACTAATATATATGTTAAAATGTTGTGAAAAAAATATTGTTAAAGTATCGTTATCTTATTACATCTAACAAACGGTTAATTACTTTTCAAATTCCCCCATTTCAAAGTTGATCATCTACGAAATACACCTCCCTCACACGAGACCTAAATTTGCCCCGTACTTTAATGTTGAATTCACTCCTTTTCTTTAATGATCACTAGTTTTTCAGGACCCAAGTGAAACTCATCGACTGTTTCTTTTTATCTTTTCCACTGAGCAAGACTTAAGTGTCTGTCTGAATTTCAGTTTCATTCAATTCCAAACACATTTTCAATTGTAAAATTGACAACTCCCACGTTACCCAGCAAGAAGCTATTGTGTAGAAAAACTGAAATTTGTTCGGTTGTCGCGAAAACCAGCTTATTAAGACACAGACATAGCTATTGGGTGTTGGAGACAAGCAAAAGCAGAAGGGCTCCAGAGAGCAACATGGGCAACAGAAAAATTGGTTAGTTAAGTTGTTTTGCATTCATTGTGGAACAGAATCTTTAAATAAGCTCCTTTGTCTCATTCCGCATGTATTTGAAATCAAATTTACGAGTTAGCAGTGTGTGGGGGCTCTTACCCTATCTGTGCGTCCATTATTTCTCACTCTCTTTTTTGTATCTTACGTCATTATGGTTTATTTTAGCTTTAAATTATTCGGCATTGTTGGCGTGAAAGTAGTTGTATGTTCCAAAATTCCAAAGGGTCGGTAGCCCAACAAACACATATTCAGTGTTTGACTAATCACCCCAACCAATCAGAAACAAGAGAAATTGGAACGCCAACACCATGTCTACATCCCCTTTCATCACCCCAACATGCTTCTCTTATCATTGGACAACCCATGTGAACTTCTCGTGCTACTGGTTGCAACTTGACCCAATCATATTTCACCCCGGGGACAAACAATCAAAGGTAAATTCTTTTGGGTGGGAAAGCAGCAAAATAATAATAATAAAAAAACATGTAATTGCGTTTCATTGTAAATGTCTCTGCATAAATCCATGATGACATCTCTGCATAATTACCACTTAACTATAGGTTTAGCAGGTCTGTTTACAAGGATTTCAGATTGATTTGAACCGGTTAAAATTCATAGATTCAAATTTGGGACCAAAGTGATTGTAATAGCAACAAAATTGGGGGCAGCTTTTTTGGTAGGGGGTAAAATTATGAAGTATATATACATATATATGTATATACATATATATGTATATACATATATATGTATATACATATATATATATATACATATATATGTATATATATATATATATATATAATAAAAATAAAAGCAGTGTGCAGCATGACAGTGCGGCAATCATTCAGTTTGAAATATAGAAGGCAACAAAACCATGTGATTTGTGCATATAAAATATTTTAAAATTAACTTTGGCCCTCCAGGGCCCGAAAAGTCTTGAATGTTGCATTAAAATACTCTTATTTCTTTCCTTGGCAGGCTCTTCTGATTAAACAATGGTTAAAGAAGTGGAAATCCCTGCAATTATGGAATTCTCTCAAACTCTGTATAGCTTTCTTTGATCTGCGAAAACAGACATGAGAGAAACAGATTACCCATTATCTATTGGAAAATGATACTTGAACAACCATTTTTGACAACATTTAGACACGCGCACACGTGTCAAAATCTGAGTGGTCCAGTTGGAAAAATTAAATAAAAATGGACCACTCAGATTTTGACACGTGTGCGCGTGTCTAAATGTTGTCAAAAATGGTTGTTCAAGTGTCATTTTCCTTATCTATTACACACACTTCTAAAAGAAAAAGTTAATCATGAATGGCCCAACTGTGAAATCTCATGTTGGAAAAGAACGGCGACACTTTTAAGCTAAGGATAAGAGTAGTGATCGGTGAGGAAATGCTTTGTTCCAACTTTTCTCACACAATTTTTTATCTAACTCGTATATTTTTGACAAAAAGCAGTTATTATCAATGAACATATTAGCTATATTGTCTAATTATCCCAACGAGGTCGAAAAGATGTATTTGATGGAAGGGGACCTCCTAGGTTAATCAATAATGCGAAAAATTCAACAGCGTGGTTGGATGTAGTTACGTTTCTTTAGTCCTAGGAACTTGGAAGCATATTATTGGTCTTCGATATGCTGATATGAAAACTCAAGTCACAACGGATCCCCCAAGGTATAAAGTTTTTTTATTCAAACATGTGGTGCGCCTTGATATAATATATTACTGAAATCATTGGTGGTCGTGGTGAGGCTTTACCTTTGAGACTCTTATTGGCAGCAATGTTGTCCATGGTTGGTGATGTGGGGAGTTTTAAGTGAAAACTAATAAAAACTCAGTTGGCAAACGCCAATTTGGGTGGGGCGTGACACACCCTCGCATTCAAAAACGGCAGCCACAAAGCAAAATGACATGCAAATCTGACCCATCCAGAGTAGATTCACTTTCTCTGTGACTTCATCAACTTAACTTTTGTATATGGTTTTGTAGAAAGAAAAGAAAAAGGAAGCTTCTCGGAAACATAGGGTTCTTTCCATGTGGGTCATGCAATGTGTGCGTGGCTTGTTGTGAAGAAAAGAAAAGATGGAATGCTTTTTACCTAGATGGAGGCCATCGACCATTCCTTCTTTTTATGTATAAACAATGCTCACCAATAATGTTCTACCAATTTACCTCTTCTATCTATGCTAGTTATGATTGTCTTCTTGTGTTTGATATGTTCGCCATGTAAAAAAAGTTACTTTCTTTTGTCTGGGAATCGCCAAGCACCTATTTGGGATAATTATAAGCGGGTTTATAAAAGAATGGTGTGAATACCCGCAAATATTTATTGGTATTTAAAAATTAAAGATTTTTCTTTTTAATAGAAAATAAAATATAAGTCCAGAATGAATTTAAATACAAATTGGCAATTTGGTTTTCATTATAGAAATTTAAGTAAAAGATGTTCTTTGAAACGTAAGTAATAAAATCAGTAAGTAAATTTGGAAAATTTTCAATTGATATTGTTCTCTTCAACAATCTTCCATTAACCACCACCTTTGATTTTAAGAATTATACACGACAAAATAAGTTTCTTAAAAATTATTTTTCAAGCAATATCAAATAGAATTGTCTTTTCTTTTTCTCAGTATTGGACATGGTTATCTAGGATTTTCCTGTGACTATTTTTGAGATGATATGTTAGTTAGGATATTTTTTCCACAACAATGAGACTATTTTTATACTGATCAAAATTTTATTGACACTCATATGACTTATTTTTTGTATGAATTTTTTAATTTTTTTTTCACCAATGTAAATCAATGTTATTTGTCTTTTGACGTCGGTTAAAGTTCTTATTCCCAATGTTGGTAGAATTTTTTTGTTGACAAATGTCAAGTAGCATTTTGGTTTGTTATTTTTGGATTGAGGTCATTAGTTTCAGTGATATTTTTTTATAATGTCAAAATGAAGAAATTTTTAACCAATCTTGATGAGAATCTCTTTTTCTAATTAACAACTTAGAGGAAATATTTAAGTTAATATTAAAAGAAAAATCAACTAAAAACCAACATGTTCTAAATTTATGTGAATCAAAATAATTGTGAATGATATTGACTGAAAATAACTTGAACTAATAATTATTGATAAAACTGTTTTTGGCATCAACTAAAAAAATCTTACAAATTTTGACGAAAAGAAAAAACTTTGACACTCCAATAATATAGGTAATTAATATTTTTAATTATTAAATGTGTTTAATTTTCAATTTTTTTATTTCATTTTAATTAAAATAATTTATGTAAGTATGAAAATTAAAATTTATCAAATCTAAAATGTTTTATTAAAAAAACATTTAAAAGATGAAATAATTACAAATAAAAAACAATAAAAATTCAAAATGAGTTTGCCATGCAACTTCAGTTCTACGCTTTGGGCTTTTAATTGTGTTGCACTCTGCAGTCTTCAGTTCTACGCTTTGGGCTTTTAATTGTGTTGCACTCTGCAGTCTTTAGTCACTTTTTTCAAATATAATATTCTCTCAAATATTAAAAATTTATAGAAAAAAATCATTGAAAGTATTTTTCTTTTAATTGTTGTACAGAAAATTTCTCGAAAAAACTAATAAAATATAAAACTTTATAGTGATCTTAGGTGATTTTGTAAAGACTCAAAAAATTGATATTAGGTAACTCTTAGTTAATGATATCAAAATAAAAATAAAATTCAAATTAGTTTTACAATCCTAAACTCTAATTATTTATATAACTATAAAGTCATTTCCAAATCGATCACTTGTGACAGTTGTTTCAAAATAATTAATATTACATACTAAATTTTATCGTCAGAACACATAATGTATAATTGTTTCTTAAAACCTGCTTAATTTTTTTTCTTATATTTTAAAGGGATATCAATAGAATATTGCAAATATTATATATGTAGGTTAATGATAACCCATAAAATTTAATTAAACACCAAGATTAATTATTTAGTATTATAATATATTTTCTGTATGATTATTCAATCTATGTAGCATTTTATGATTCAAAAAGTTAATATAAATAATCTTTATATTCATTCTAAATGCTCAAATGCAAAAATTATAATTTTATAACTAACTTATGTTTTGGTAACTGCAATCAAAATTACAATTAATAACTACAACTCTAAATTTATACGTCAAATTAGGTATATGTTATCTTATGTATACAATGATTGTATTCATTAATAAAAATTTTATGATGATTGAAAATAAATTTATTATAGTTGAAATAATCTTATTAGGAAGACAAGAAGACGGGCTTTATACCCACTGATTCATAGTGGGCCTGA